GGTTAGTTCCCTGTCTTCTGGGAACGCCTGCCACGTATTACAGGCTGCTTCCCTGCCTCTGCCTGTAGCTTTAAGTTCAGAGTTTAGTCCCAACCCCTTCGCTTTTTGTCATTTCTCATCCCACTTCCGTTTGCTTCTCAGTGATAAGTGCTGATGTTTCGCACCCTGAAACTGAAACAGAACTGTTTCTTGCCCTTTTCTTGTTCTTTCTTTTTTAAAAAGGAACCTTTTTGTTGGAGCAAAAGTTAGGAGAGCCAGGGAGAAGCAGCAGCTTAAAAGGAAAACTCAATAGCTTTGAACCACTGTCCAGGAAGTTTAGATTTAGCTTGGAGCAGGAATCTTATTTACATGCAAAGACATTTCAAAGATGGATTAGGGCATTCAGCCGTTCACTTCCACTGCAAAGCGATCCCTTGTTCTATGTACTCTGAATCAATGGAAATTTGGAACTGAATGATTCCCTTTATGGAAAATATTTGGGATGATGCTTGCGGGACTTGCTTCTTTGTTCCTCTTTCTCTTACTGTCTTGCATTCCTTGACCAGACTACCTTTTGATCCCCAGTTCAGATTTCTTCAGATCAGGATGTCCATCCACTTGCACATCTGAAGAACAGTGCATGCTAGGTTAAGAGGAAACTATGTTGTAGCTGCATCTCCCCGCCTCCTCCTCTCCAGTTTGTGACAGCATGCGCATTTTATTAATCTAGTGGCATATAGACATCTTATTGGGAAGATACAGGAGTCTATGTACTGGTAGCACCGGTACCTATTATTGGTGCTTCTGGCAGTCCAGAAGTATTGATGGGCACTTTAGTTTTCAGAATTCCTAGTTGGCATAGCTTTCAGGTGAGAATTTTGGAAGTTGCATTTGACACATCTGGAAGCTTTGAAGCTATGAAAGATTGTCATATACCCAGGCTTAGAGTCAGTCAGTGGCAGTCAGTCATGGTCCAATGTGAGCCAGTTGTTTATTACAGACTTACTGGGCTGTTCATTAAAACTATAAATAATGGTTAAAAACCATTCCCAAATGAGATTTACAATATTGAGAGATATTGTCCTTAGTAATTCTGCTTGTGTAGGCTTCTGCTACACTTCAAAGGTGCTATTTGGCCTGACTGGGAGAACAGCATTTTAAAAAGTTCACCAAACCCGAAGCACTGCATCAGTTACTCTGCAGTATACCTTTTAATATTAGCTTAAATGGAAGTTTTGTGGGAGCAATTTCATTTGGTATGGATGTTTAGAGAAAGGGGTTATCCCCTCTTTCTTTGCACTGTGATCCTGATGCGAATTCTCTTTTCCTTCCATAGCTGATAATTGAGCAAAAGAAGAAAGAAATACAAGTATTTTTCCTTTTGCTTGCGTTGTAAATTTTAACATATAGTTTGACTTGAGGAATTAGCAGTAATTTTTCAGAGAACAAAAGATGCTAATTTTGTTTTGTCCATGTTACTGTTGTTAGGGGGAAAAGTTTGGACCATTTGCAGGAGAAAAGCGAATGCCTCAGGAACTGGATGAAAACACAGACTGCAGGCTAATGTGGGAGGTAAGAATTCCAGCACTGTGTCTAATAAATTGTCTAAAGCATTATCTTACAAGACTAGAGTGGCAGTTGTTTTGGGTCTTGAAATTATGAGGCATAGGATTTCTGCTGCTTCATCTTTCTCCATCTTTCTCCTAATATTATCATAATAGTGTATAGTTTTTCAACACCAGTAAGGACAGATTAATATGAGATAGTGCATAAACTTTGCGTATTTTAATGTGCAGTAAGCCATAGTTTAACAACCATATTTTATGCCATAATTAAACCATGGCTTAGCATGTTTTGTTTACCCACTTAATATGTATGGTGCTAAAGTAGATTTTATGATGTAGAAGATGAAGACTTAGAATAGTGCCAGATGTTTCGCTCTCAGATGTCTATGCGAAGAGGTAGCTGACCAACTACAAAGATGCTGGCATACTCACCAAGACTAACAAGTTGTAAATATAATACCATTTATGCATTTGTTTATTTAGTATACATTCATTCATTCATAAAACGAGTTGAAAATCCATAAAAATGTAGAGCTATAATAATTAAGCATAAGGAAGTGCTTAGTCAAGTAGTTGTTTTAAGATTAAGGCCGTGATTTCCTAAAGTGTTTGAGAGACTCCCAGAAAGTCATGAGCGTATAAATTCCACCCACACAATCTCTGTCTTCTCTGTTCCAGTGTTAATCATAGTGTTAAAGTTTCATCAACACTTTTACAACATAATTTTACCTGAAAATAATGAAAATAAGTAGAATTAAATGTCATCAACATACTGATGATGCATCTTCCCAAGTTCTTAATTAATTAGTTGCATAAAAGATGAAAGAAAGAAAGTTTGGCACACCACATCGTGCTAACCATTGGATAGACCAAATGTCCATAGCATTGTCTTCTTGAACTAGTAGAAATAGATTCAAAGAAAAACCTTGTCCTGTTGAGGACTAAGAAAAGAATGCAACAAACCTATTGGGAAAATTTATATTAGTTTGTAAAGGAGAGTTGAGGTCATGGAAAGATAGGCAATTTGCCAGACATCCCTATGTATAAACATAAAGGAATAAAGGGAAAGTGCTATGTTGCTTGCAAAATTATTTGTTGTCTGGAATAAATAGACTTGAACCAGCCAGTGGTAGCTAGAAAATTGCTTACACTGACTTAATATAGGCAAGATACCTAGCACTAATAGATGAAATATGTTTCAACATATTTTAACTCACATATTTTAGCTACTGTCTGCTTCCTTTCCAGTTATACACTGCCATAGATTATGAATCAATATGAACATTTCTTGTATGTTGAAAACAGGTTACCGAAATTTATAATATCTAAGTAGCTGACAAGTAACAGTTTGATCTCTTTGTCTGTAATTGGCTGTAATTTATTTATTTAATAATAATAATTGAAAACATTTATATTCTGCACATCCATATTATTAGTATTATGGGACTGCTGTAATTCGGCAGTTGTAGGAACTTTCTGTTTATATTTGCAGAAATTGCTTTAGAGGATGCAAGAAATACATCTTGAAAACTTCAATTCTAGTTTTTGAACAACTTTAAATACCCCAGTGTTTTCTTAGTAACATCTCAAAAGCTGGGAAAGGGTAATGCATTCTTTCAGAAGTCAGAGGACATGGTATGCCCCCAGAATCATTAGATCCTTCTGGTAACATCTTTGTAACATGTACTTGAAATAGAGAAAATCAAGCACAACTTGATAAGAATGATGTTAATTAATCATTTTGTTTATTCAGCCTCATAACTGTATCACTGCTCATATTTCACTGCTCTTTGTTATTTAAATACTTTCATTTTGCTGAAAACTATGGGGTGTCTTGAGAACTAGAAACAGAATAATTTTTGCATGCTATAAATTACTTATTGTCTATTAAAGATGTGCAGTACATTTATCTGACACCTATTCTACAAATCATAAACTTGGGTTTTATAAGTCTTTTGACACAATTTCTTAACTTTTTTTCTTTCCCTGATCTAATTCTAGGATCTTGCAGAGATTGCCACATGCCACATATTGTGACTTTTTGAACATTTGAACCTAAACAGTTTAGGTTTAGAAATGATGCTCTGAATATAGGAGTTGTAATACTGTATATTATAAGTCACATTGTGAGTTCCAAGTTTGTTGCTAGGAGTAAAGTAAAGTAGAAAGCAGGATGATATAGATTGTCCCTTCAGAAATTATGAAGACAACTTTTAAGTGTTTGCCAAGTTGGCATTTGTTTCCTGGACAACAAATATGTATTATTATTAATAATTATTATTACTTCTATTATTATTTAGCCACATTGGAAGGATATTTCTATATTTTATTAGATATGTTCAAATACAGAAATAAAAGTATAGGTTTTTGAAATCATACCTTGCCAGGTAAACATTTATGTAAGTAATCTTGAACTTAAATTTAAAAAAAAATAAGACCTAGATTTCAAACTAGATTTGAATAGCAATAACAAAATCCATATCTGGTTCTAGGGATAAGTTGATCTGTGGCACAGACACTCTAAAGACTGATTAACACATTAATTCTTAGTGTGATGAAGGAATAGCATAATCATTGTATAGATGTCTGTATGTAATGATTTTACCATATTCACTTGAAAAGAAGGATTACTTCTTTATGACCTAAGTACCCAAGAACCGTGTCTTACATTATCTATGAAGCTGCTGAAAATGAATGTCTATCCAAAAGCTTAAGTAATTGAAGCAAGAAGCTGAAACAGGGCAAGAAGACCTGCTACATTTGGGACAACATTAAGCATACTGGACCTGCTTGCTCTTACTGCCTTCTAGATGTAAAAGATGTTTCCTCTGTCCAGGGAGGTTTCCCATACGTATTCTGGAAAATTAGGATTTTCAGTTTCTAAAAATTTCCATGGATAGAGAGGCTCTCTGTTGCAGACACTTATTGGTGTCCCTGTGTATAACCAGCTTGGCATCCTGGAGGGGTGGTGGTGGCCAAGGATAGCAGGTGCAGCATCACTATCCACGTTCCACCCTCTTTATGTGCATAGAAAAGGTTGGGGCTTGGATTGCAACACCTTGCCTTCCATCTTTCAGATGTTGACTCCCCTTTCCCGTGCACGTGCTGCCTGAGAGGAAGATCTGAACTTTGTAAGATTTACTACAGAGAAAGTATATGTAGGATCTTTTGTACTTGCAGCCCAGCAAAAAGATCTTGATCGGCCTATTTTGTTTTTGGCCAAAAGAAAGAAAAACAAACTTAGGATCTCAAGGATTTCTTTTATTTACAGTTAGAAAAGCAATTAAAGATTTTGTTGATGGGGTATTTGTCTGGAATCAGAAATAAAATTCTTCATTACTTTACAGCATTATATCGCTATACCATAGGATAAGGCTGTTACATTGTAATATTTTGCCATTTGGGAAAAATATGTCTTGAAGTTGCTACTTGATTCTAAGTACTTAAGGTTTGATTTATGGCAGCAAGATCCATTTGGGATTAGACAGCCAGCTAACTATTACAACCATGTTTAACAGTTTTTATGGAAATCAGCTTTATTATGAGAGCACTTTCTCAGTATTATGATGTATGAATTGTGCCTCAATAGCCCTCATGGAATGAGATGCCTCCTTGGTATCTGCCACATAATTGTGAGCTTCACTTTTTAAAAAAAAATCGAGCTGACTCTTTTGTGAAAGCACTGTGAGGCTTTCCCATTTGGCATGGCATTTTATGCTTGTAGAATAACCATATAAATATAGACAAAGGAAAACTTCAAGTGCTACCCTAATAAGGATTGCCTGTTTTAAAAAAGTAGAAGGTACATTTATTTTTTGTTTTTGTTTTTTTCCTTGTTGCTTTTCCAATGAAAAAGAGGTTATGGTTGTAATCTCTGAAGAACTGATCATGGATAATGTTCTTGTAATATCAGTAAAGCTATTCATCAGCATAGTAATGCATATTTCTGCAAGACCATGGGTTGGTCTTCTGGCAACAGATTTTACTTTAATTGCCATATTTTTATATATCTCTATTTATGTTATTCCAAGTCAAGAACTTTGATATGTGGGCAGCTGTGGTTAAAACAAAAATCTTGTCCAAATTCAAACACATTAAGTTTTCAGACTCTTTTAAATGCTGGTATTCAAACATATGAATTTCTAGTACACATGTTGTTTTGTAAGAGACATATTTAATCATGTCTATCATTGGTGAAATATAAGACTTCTTCTTTCTCTCCCATTCCAATTGATGTGTTTAGCTGATTCAGTTGACCTAATTTGCACTTTTCTGATTGAATGCCAGTGGGACTCAAAGCATCCAGTATATTCAATAGTAGTCAGAGGTACAGGTTTTCTGGACAACAGTGAGATTTACCTCTAGTACCTAGAAAAAGAAGCAGCCATCTTGGGTTTTGACCATACAAATGGAAGCTGTTTCCTGGCAAAGTTCTTTTGTAATATTCATTTGATATCAGTGTGGGAGCCTTTAAGGCAAGATTCTTGTTCTTGCAGAAGATCCAGGTTAGTTTCCTATTATTTTATGATATAACTAAAACAGGCTATTTTATGCTGAATTTAAGCATGTATATTAAAGATTCTTGGAGTGAGAACTAGTTTCAAGTGCAGCTGCTCTCAGATGTTACAGGCATGTGCTGTGTTCACAATCCCACACCCCATGAATGACCTTTCAGATATCAGATCTAAAGTTCTATACTGTCTAATGAGAAATATGTTCTTATGGAAAAATTGACATCCAGACAGATTAATCTAAGTTATGATTCTTAGCATTTGATATTGATTATATGTTTGGGAAATAGTAATGACATTAATAACCACAGTATATAAATTGCATCCCTGTTACAATGATGCGTTTGGTCATGGAAGAGCTCCTTCATGAATGTATGGAGCAAGCAGTGATTTAGCCTTCAGTGGGATATCAGCAAAGTAAAAACCTTTTAAAATAATTTATCTTCACATGGGCTGAAGTTTAACTTTGGAATCATGTTCCTTAAACCACTCCATTTGTCTAAACTTTGTTGAAGTGAATACAATTTTCTATTCCATCAGTTTCAAGATCAATGCAAGGCTAATGTTTAGCAGTACAAGGCTTCATATGTTATGCTTCAAAATTAAATTACAGTCTAGTCACGGAATATTTTTTCCTTGCTGTTTATATGGTAATGTAGTTTCTTGCAGTTCTTATTTAATAACAATCCACCAAACGGTCTTCAAAACTGCTAGCAATGTATTTGCTGGGTGCAGGAGAGGAAGCCATCTGTTTATCTTCATTGTTGTGCTGACATTTTTCCTGACTGGCTGCAAAGTATTTGACTTCAGTTCACATCCCTGTGTCAAGTGGTACAACAAAATACATTCCACTGTGCAATATCTTTGGCCAAACTCAAATTTGATTTCATTTTACAGCCATAAGAAAGAGGAGAGTCATCAAGCAAGTTACCTGAGCCGTGCTGGGAAACATGCTCTCAAAAATCTTTGTTTCTTTTCTATCACTACAGTTAATTTTTCTGACACCCAAAACTTGGAGAGTGGAGGTGGGGGTTCCATTTTGCAACAAATAACTTCAAAGATCATGTATATTTCGGTTGGTAGATATAACTTCAGAAGAATTTTGAACCTGATCATTAATATCATATATATGCCAGTGGTCTCCAGTTCTTAAAAATTTAATAGTTGGCATACTGAAGACAGTCTGGAGGAAAGTAATTCAAATATATGGATTGGAGCTAGATACTGCAACAAATCAACTGGACTTTTTTTTTTTAAGATATCCTGGTTGCAAAGCAGAGATTGAAATTAAAGAAATATGGAACAAAGGAACATCAGTCTAACAATATTTTTCTTTAGTTATTTTTGTATTATTTTATCTTTATTTCTTAATAACACAGCTGAGCTGGAGTTTCAGCACTTATTCCATGAGAGTAACTTTTATCATATAGTAACAGCAAAAGAAGATTTGTCTTTTGTTTTCATTCAAAAAAACTCTCTACAACTAACATGTGTGGGAAAAAGTATGCTAGTGAGAATATTATGCAAACAGTAGCATTAAATTTATTAGAGAGGCTGCTTACATTTTAGAAGCAAAAAGACAAATCTATATACAGGAGAAAGTATCTGTCAAAGAATAAATCAGATTGATTTGCCTTTAAAAAAAGGTAGTCATGCAATTTATATATAACAATGACATAAATAAAGAGAAAATGCATACAGGTCCTAGTTTTGTGAGGTTATAAACAAAAATAATAATGGGGTTTTTTTGGTATATTTTTTGCTTAATAATACATCCGCAAAAATGAAATATTAATGGGCTACCAAGAAAACTAAGAAAATGTAAAATCCTAAATGGATAAGTTAACAATTACACCAGCTTCAATGATCAGAAGTAATGAAGCTGTTCGTCACCGAAGACAAATTCCTTGTATATATTTTATACTTGGTCATTAAAGTATTTTATATTTTGTATTAAAAATCATGGAGACATCCTAAATTCTACTAAGTTCCATGGTATTTTAAGCAACCTTGTTTTGTATTGGATTGTGGTCATAGTATTTTCCAAAAGAAGGTTCCAATTTCAATGATTTCATTACTTGTCTGCTTAGTATAATGTTCAATTTTGTGTACTCCAGCAGTCGCTTCAGGCTTTCAAACCTTTCACGTTGAAAACACAGCATAACCTATACTGTTGTGGAAATGTCAGCCTTTTTGAAACATGATAGTTTTAATTTCATCCATATTCATGCTGGAATTAACACTGGACTTGCTCATCTGCCCAAAGTCAAATATATGTAAAATAAAATGTATGGGGCATTTCCTCCCTGCCCCCACAGTCCTATATAGATCCTGTAAGTTGCATATCTGTAGTTATCTCTTTAGTGAACAAATTCTTCTTTGTAAAAAATTAATATGTTGTGGAGACTTAGTGCTTGCTAAACTTCAAGGGTTGGCTTTTTCTCTCCCCCCTCCCTTAAAAAAATATGTCATTTTAGGCTCTTATTTTTAGACATCGTCATTGAAATAGCATTCTGAAATCTATAGTGTTTACCATTCCATAATCCCAGACAAGCTGATACTGATGATTCTAGCTGATACTGATGATAGTTGCTGTTGAAAACATTTGAAGTATACCAAGATTCCAGGTTGGGTAGGGCTTCCAAAATCTGCATGACCACTAGATGGCAGCAATGAGTTAACCTTTGCTGTACCTCTTTGCTGCCATTTAGAGGTCATGTGGATTTTTTGGGCCCTGATCTAGTAGCCTAAAGTAGGAAATCAGCAAATTAACATATTTACCTATCACCTGAGAATTAAATATTTACCCACTGTGACAATTACTGATGATTTTGGTCCCACCAGATTTGTAAGAGCCTTTCAATTAAAAAAAAATCTTATTAATAAAGTAAGTTCTCATCATGCTTATTTTTGAACATGCCTCTGGATCTCATCTAAAATACAGACAAAAATTAAAAGGGTGGCTGCATAATGCTTTGTTTGAATTATCTGCCTTCAGGGGGAAAAAAGAATGTACATAGAGGAGTGAGATCATTAGAGCTGTGCTGTGATTCAAATTCAGTTCCAAAAAATGCTTTGGAGAGCATGAGGAGCAAAGAGGGCATGTGTCCAGCTTTAAACCAGGATGAATTTTTGGGACCACATAATAACCACAGCCACAGAATTCCCAGAAAAGATTCAGCTGCTTTAAAAAGTTGGAAACTGGTGCTCTGTTCCTGCTCTGCATGCCCCAAAGCACCTTGTCCAAATTATTTCCAAAGCGATACAGAATCCTAGGGACAATTAGCTAAGGGAGTGGCCAATTTCCCTGGTGATAAATGGATATTTCATGACTTTCAATGACAGTCATTTTGTGATGTTTCTTAACAATTCTAAAAGTACCTTTTCGGCCTAAAAACATTGTGGACCTCTTGCTAATTCTAGCGCACTGGGTTGTTAGAATGATAACATCAGGAGGAGGAAAACTTGAAGCTCCTGTAGAATTGAAAAGGAATCTATCAATAACAGAAGCATGATTGCTTGGCAGTGTTGTCACTGGCCTGGGCTACTGAATTAATGGCGAAAAAGAGTTGCTGCTAAAAGATTCTGGGAAAATAAACTCTTATAGTGCAATCCTAAAAATATTTCCTCAGTTTTAATGAGATCTCAATGACATTTACTCCTAAGTAAGAGAAAATAGGATTCCACAACTTTAAGGTGCCTTTTTCTGATGCAATGTGGAGGATAAAGCTGGAACTAGTATTAAGAAAAAACATGCAGAACTTCTAAGTTAGGATCTAACAAGTCAGATCTAACAGTCAAAATAACTTATCTACTTACCCCTTAATAACTAACTCATGATGTGATTGTCATATAAACAGCTATGTGACAATATGTTTAATAGGTTGATAAACAGGAGTGCTATCCTAAAAGTCTGTCTAATATTGTACTTGGAATTGGGCAAAGAATGTGTGGTGAATATAATGGTCACCATTGCTTTTGTTGTTAATTTTTAAACAGTTACAGTATATCTTTTGAACATGGAGGATATTTTACCTCAGGTACTCTTTTCATTACAGAATTTACAAAGGTATCTATTTACAAGTAGTCCTTTTAATGTTATCAAATAAAGTTTATGGAATTTTCCCTTCCTATTAGAAATAGTTCTCTTTCTGCATGTAGAAGGTGACTTTATGTATTCTGGGACTTCAGCCATATTGTTAATTGTGGTTAGGCAAATCATGGCTTAGTGGGTTATGTGTATTCAGCCAATGCTTTCCTGAATGTTCCCATCTTACATTGCACAGCTACTTCTTGTAGGCCAGACTGTTCACTTGACCCTTTGCACATGAGTTCACATGATGAATCTTAAAAAGGTACAAAAACACTCTGTATTTTTCCTAACGTTTGCTCATTCCCGTTATAAGAAAATGCCATATATTTGAAAATGTGGCTTTAATGGATTGAGTTCTCCTTGTCCCTGAACTATTTGAATATTCATGATAAAGAGGGATAATATTTCATAAATTACAGTCAAATGCAATATATTTTATTGCCACAGTTCATATCCGGTTCTTTGCTTTACCAAGAGAAATGTAACATAGAAGATACAAAATGAAAATACATAAAATATAATGTATTAATAGACCATGCCATTTAATATTATTAAAGCATGAATTTTCCTCTTTAGAGACCCTTAAAAGAGGCTCAATTTTTACTTTGTAATATAAAATCATAAAGATATAAATTTTCAACCAGCAGCTAGAAAAATGAGGTAGTCACATGCTGTGAAGAACAATAAGATGTTGGTTTTGAAAGGCAAATGAAGGGGAATATGGGAGCCCAGATGTGTTTACCTTTTTCTCAACTTATATTTGAAGTTGGGCAAATGGCCACTGCTGCAAAGTTTCCTCATTTTCACAAGCACAGAGCACCCCACTGTCATTTTCTGTAGTAAATCTAGCTCTGACAGTCGCTAATCCTTACTTTGGATTTTGGGTCAGCCTGTTGTGTGAATTCAGCTTTGTGGTTTGTATACCATTATTTATGGCTTAGCATGATATTTCAATTCCGTTATTGTGACCTGTTTAATAAATCATATTTTCACATGATACACGAATCCGGCCAGAGATTTACTTCCACTATCAAAGAGAATGATAAAACGAGAACTTGAGGGTCTTCATTTTTGTAGTGTTAGATTTATATCTTTATCTCTTTTTCAGAGCTTTAGCTTTGCTCAAATTTTATTGCCTTTTCAGGTTCGTGGGAATAAAGGTGAAGTGCTTTATGTTCTGGATGCTAGCAATCCAAGGCATTCTAACTGGTTGCGTTTTGTACATGAAGCCCCATCTCAGGAACAAAAGAATCTGGCTGCTATCCAGGTAAATTGATCAAGTTCTTATTAGATTTCCAGTTCAAGCTTCCATGTCTACTCATTATTTGCTATAGCTTACTCTCCGAGAAGTGAGTGTAGTATGGCGACCATAATGTGCTAATGGGTAGGCAACTGGGGATGGCTGTACTGATTGTGTAGGACCACAGCTCACATCATTCTGGGATTCCTGAATGCTCGCTGAGAATAATAGTCCTTTGAATTGAATACCATTTTTAGGACCACAGATTAATTGGAATCCAATAACATTGTTCAAGCTGTAAGTTTTCTGTCCCAGCCATACTGGACTTGTTTTTATTCTAGCCAATAGGGATGTCCTCTAAGGCTCCTGAACAAAGAATCCTTGTAGCTCCTTGGTAGTAGGAAAAAAATCAGAAGCCATGAGGAGGACAACAGTTTTATTATGAGCAAGTACACGTCACAAATATTTACTATGCAGGAAGTGATGTGCTAAACAGATTTTAATTTGTGCATGGGGCTCCCCTTCCAAAACCTAATACAGGAGAAGTTCTATGCATCTTTCACTACTGTGGTTTCCTTTTGGTGTCTTTTTTGTTATTGAAAATGCTATTCTGTAATTGTAAGTGTAAACAGAGCCACTGGATCACAGACATAAGGCATCAAAATAAATAACTGGAAAATTATTTTCCGAGTGAGGATATTGAGGAAAGAGAGGCTTTATGCCAAACTGTTTCTGTAATGCTAATACAGTGTTTGCAACTTTGTTGGACCAGTGGGCAAATTTAACAGTTTGAGAGCATGTCATGAGTGCTCAAAGAAGGTGGCTGTCATGGCTGGGATTTACCCATTCATAAAATGGCAGTCTCACCAAGTGTGTCCAGCCACAGAACAATAATTTATCAAAAGATTTCCCCAGCTTACCTTGGTCTTTTTTTCTGGAAGTTGAGTAAATTTGGAACTATATTTTGGCTGTACTTTTCTAAGAATAAACTAAGTAACAATTTCTTTTGTAATTTTAGTTAAAATTATTATTCCTTTTTTTAGATTGAAAGGTAGAATTGGATGGTGGGATGGTGGGCATCCAGGTAAGTGGCCACAGAGGCCACATAAGGAATTTGTCAATTTTTCAGTTTCAAAGACATTTATTTAGGGTTTAATATAGGCAAATTGTGATATGTTTTAAGTTCAAATCTCCCTCTGTAATAAAGCTCATTTATTTGGTGACTTTTGGCAAGTTTCTTATCGATATATGAAAATGTAGAATTTAATTAAGCATAAACCCAAATAGAAGCAGATTATCCTTTCAAATGTCCTATGACATTATAAAACAGAATGATAGAACTGTAATTCTAAAATAAACTTTGTGAATATTAAGTTTTATTATTATATTATTTGTTTATTATAATTATAATTATTTATTTATTATAATAAAAATACTGGAATTAACATTGAAGTTGCAATTCTGCTATCATGTTTTACCTTTGATTGGTCCATGATATATCTGTTACCTCCAAGGTAGAAAAATAGTTAATCAAAATGACTGTGATTGTGCTAAATTCAAAGAGTATATATAACCATGAAGTTATTGTCTATTGTTTTTTTTAATAAATTTTATTAAATTTACAAAAGATTAAAATACAAGGTCAGAAAAAAAAGAAAGAAAGAAAAGAAAAATCAGTAAAGAAAATGCATAGAAAAAGAAAGGTACCATCAGACTTTCCTTGGTACAGGTATAAATGTAAGATATATTCACCTCTTACTCTAGTATCTAAACATTTACATAGTAGAAAACAATTTTTAGTCTAACATTCAAAACAATTCATAGAATCAATCTATTTCAACAATACATATGGTTTGTACAAGATATTTCTTTAGGTATAACATCAATCATCGAATCCCCAAATCAAAAAGTTATTGTCCATTGTTTTCAGTTTTCAACATATAACAGCAGCAATAAACATTCAATCTTTTCTCCTCCTCCTTCAACCATTGGTCACTGAACTTTTAAAATCTATAGTGCTTCTTAAAAAGCAGTGTTTTTCTGTTTTATTGAGCTTTCTAACAGATTATATTTTGAGTTGTCTCTATTCCCTTGTTTCCTTCTTGTGTTTTCCAAAAAATGTTGCGTGCTGACAACTACTGTATTAGGAAGGATCCTTAGCTGTTAAAGTCAACCCTTTTTATAAACAGAATCTTAGCCAGATTCTGGCTTAGAATCTTATATTCAAACACTCTGTTCATTAACCACCAGATATATTGGTGGTCTGGACAAGCTCAGCAAACTGGAATCGTGAAATGGCAAAGGTTAATGGGAAAAGAGGTATTTACTGTGATGCAGCGGAGTGGTTTAAAGTCATACTTAACAAATACTTAACAAATGAAACAATGGAAGATTAGTATCTGAGAATCAATCAACACTGTAATAAATCTGGAATAACTGGTCTATCTCTCAGCCTGAAAGACAGGTGGTAATTGGGTAGGAAAAGAGTAAAACCACAAAGCAGGCACAAATGCTTTATTTTAATGTATCTTTTACATATATTTACATATCCGTAAGACAAGTTTGAGAAGGTATCTTTAACATCAGTTCTTAAATTAACAAACTGGTAAAGACCTAACAATTAGGCTGGGTCAAGCATTCAAAAGAGGTGTTTTGCAATTCAGAGAAGTGTGAATAAAGCACCCCATTTTGGAATTGTTAAATGCAGTTCTATGTTTTGAAAGGATTGAGTGACTACTCTATTTAGGACATTGCTTCTGGCTATTTCCACATGTGTTCTTTTGTGAGTGAGTGCAAAGCACTCCTTTTAAATCTACTAAATCTACTGTACTACACCCAGGAAAAAAACATAAAATCTGTTCAGTTTTTGGCTTCTTTAAAAGAATGTAGGACTGACTCTAAATTGAGATGACCTTAGGAGAGTAATCGCTTCTGCATTTCCTCGTGCTTGTCACCTCAAGGGAGAAAACCAGTAACACCAGCTACGGCAATACTGTATCACTAATACAAGTGCCAAGCAGTGGGGTCTGAGCCACTATTTACATTTTTGCAGTATCCCACATAAGTATCTAAGAATTTATAAATGCGGCATTATAAGAATTTTAGTGATATTAGTGAACTTACTTTTGAGTAGTGCTGTGTGAGACAATAATTAGGTTTTGCTGGCCATGCTGTGAGCTTCATATTACCAGTAAACAGCAGCTGCGAAAGCTTGTATTATGACATATAAGTGGTTGCCCAGAGTGAGTAATCTAGAGCAGATCCTAGCAGAATTGTAGGCTCTGCTACAGCATTAAGACTAGGTGACACATGTTAATGCTGAAAGTGATAGAATGAAGACTCTGCGTACTATATTCCACAGGAATCGGGTAGAATCACCCATTTCAAGACACAACCATAAAGTCTGTTGCTAACTGCAGATATATGGCTCGTGTACTAGACAGATAACTGAATTTGATTTTATAAACATGGGTATTGGGAACAGTTTGATTGACATGAAACAGCAATAGCTAGAATTACTTGTTCAAATTATTTGTTGCTCATTCAGGACCAAGAAAACTAATAATTATGGGGTATGATGTCAAAACTGTTTCTTCCATAGAATTTGTCCTAATACACTCAATTCAAGTTGAACATCAAGCTGATTGCTCTGGACTGAACAACTAAAAGGCACAAATTACCCGAAATACTAATAAACTGAATTAATTCTGTGCCTAGACTGAAAATACTCTGAAACAAGACAATGTCCCTTTTTACATTAGAATAAAAGTTAGTACTCTCTAATTTGACTTATTTAATTTTAATAATGCCATTAAAGGATGTGATGTAATACACACCTTGGAAAATAATTCAGTTAATTTCTTTTTCCTGTTCTATTACTGATCTAACAACAAAAATGTATTTGGTCCTTGATTACAGTTGATCAGATCAAGTTCATATAATTATATAGGGTTTTTAATGGCATATACATCTCAAAGCATTGGAAGAATGAGATCCCCTGCTAGTGGTTTTAGTGAATCTTAATAAAGTATCTTTGAAGTTGTGCCCAACCCCTGAACCCAAACACATGTAGAGACTTGTTGGCAACAATATGGAAGTGCTTTGCCATTATCTTCTTTTGGGATTTTTTTTTTTTTTTTGGCTCCTTAGTCTAGCCTGTGTTGGGATTTCCTAGAGTTCTGCCATGCAAGTATTAACCAGGCCTAATCTTGCTTAACTTTCATAATGAAATATCATTATGTCACCCTATTGTAAAGTTTGCCAAAAAAATCAAAGTTTGGTAGTATATTCCATAAGCAAACTGCACTTATTATCACTGGATGTTCATTAAATTGATATGATTTTGGAGCATTCAGCAGTCTTTAGTTTTGCCCATTTACAATTTGGCTTAATATAATATGATTGTTTTCTAAAGTTACATTACTATGTCAGTGTTTATTTAGTCCTGTAAAACAATTCTCAGACAAAGACAGAAACAAAAGTTGTAATAATTTCAATAAAGTTCTATTTGTTTATTGGTGATTTCAAAAAGCTGTTTGTTTTAGAAATGGATTTAATAATATGCGTTTCTAAAATAATTTTTTTCCCCAACAGGAAGGAGAAAACATTTTCTACCTAGCTGTTGAGGATATTGAAACAGATACCGAGCTCTTGATTGGTTACCTTGATAGTGACATGGAAGAATTGGAGGAAGAAGAGGAGGAGGAAGTCATTATTAACGAGGAAGAAGAGGATAGCATCAATAACAGTAATGGCAGTCATAAGGAATTGCAACAGACTAATGAAAAAGGTATAGATGAATAATTTAAAACTCCATTTCTATTTAAAAACATATCATAACCTTTTCTTAATTTAAGTAAAATAAATCTGTCTTTCTAAATAGACAGAAATTCTGGTAATTTCTAAGAGACAACAAAATTAAGTAATTGCAATAGTGCCCAAGTAATCATTAGTCATAGTCATTCTTGACTGGAGTGCAACTGAATTAAAGATGAAATATAATTAAAACTGAGATAATCAAATGCTGCTTATTCCCCATATTTAATATTATAACTAAAAGTTTTATTTAATATTCAAATAGTAATACACATCACATATTGTTTGTATTATTTAATATAATATTTAATAATTGCTGCAGCAGTGTGCCATATGTTACCATAGAATATGTACCTCTGCTCTGCATCAACAAAAATGTAAATGTTACCTAATGATCATGTTATAAATGAATGGGCAGCTGAATATTTTATATTTGGACTACAATTATTTCACATTTCTTCCATCTCAAATAAATTAAAACTTCTCTGGATAATTCAGCAAGAAGAAATATTGTGAATCAGATTAAGCTCTTAAAATTAATGACCAATTCCACGTCCTTTGGAAAAAGCAACTCAAAGAAAGAGAATGTGCACAAACGACCATATTTCATTCCACATGTTTAGGCAGCATGTTTAGGCTGGAATTTTTTAAAGTGAATATAGAATAGAAGGTAGGTTACTGACTGTGATAAGAGCAATACATGTTTAAAATAAAGCATGCATAAGAATAAATGTATGTTTAAAAATAATTCCACACTGAGCAGGGACAAAGCTGTGTGATGTCCTCTTATTGTTTAGTGCATTTACTGCTTGTTAGGACAAACATGTTAGTAAGTTGAATGCTGAAGAAGTATGAGAAGAGATAAGGACAAGAATGAATGGGTACTGAATGAATGTGGATTGAATGCAAAAATGAGTGACCAGTACAAAAGATATATGTTGAACTGTTTTGGGCATACAGAGAGCATGAGTGAGATTCAAATCATAAAACGAAAATATCAGGGAAGAGTGAGTGGGTCAAAAAAGGGAAGATCAAGAGAATTGTGTTAGGACAGAGTTGATGAGATCCTAAAAAAGATAAAGTTGAGAAGTTTAAGGAACAAACATTAATATATGAATTGGAATATGGATATGGTGGAATCAAGAAGGGTTTGTAAGGACAGAAAGACTTGGAGAGGTATAGTGAATGGAGTTGATACAAATTCTGTTTAGCTGCATATTTGCTCTTTTTTCTTAACATGACTTTACTTTCTTTAGATAACTGTTTCTTACTTCTTTATTGCTCTTTGCATAACATAATGTGATGAGTATGAATGTATGTGTTTCTGTACAGAAAAGGTTATTACAAATATTATACTCGTCAATCCAAAAATAATACTTCTAGAACTTGGAAGCTCAAACTATTTGCATACTTGAAATTGTCATCCAGTTGTAATTCTTAATAAAACAAATGGGAAATTATGAAAAACATAGGAAGCAATCATGCTAACTGGATTATATTTAATGACATTTAGGTTTGTCCTATTCTCACATTTTTAGCAGTCTGAGCTCTGGCACTCTGCTTGGAGCACAATAAAATTATTGCTCTCAGCACAATAAAAGTTGGGCAGCCTACTCTTAGAACAGAACCTATTGCAATGTTTTCACAAAGAAATAAGTTACTTCTGACATCTTTTCTCCACCATGTAGATTCTTTTAACTGTAAAGAGGATCATGCTTGTCCAAACTGTGAATCCAGTTTTGCAAGCCAGGAAATATTAGCTGAACACCTTCAGACATTGCATCAAAAACCCAGTGAAGAAAAAGAATTCAAATGCAGGAATTGTGGAAAGAAATTCCCAGTAAAGCAAGCTTTACAGAGACAGTAAGTCTGTAGCATTTGAAACCATAAAGTCAATAAGACCAGTAGTTGTTTTTTTTGCAAATGAATGGTTTACAGAGTTCAGCAAATTTAGTTTTTTACATTGCTAGGTGTTTCATGAACACATATAAACATATAATATCTTGCCCCCAGAGGTGAGATCGACCCCCTCACTCCTGGCCTTCCGAAGGGATTTGAAGACCTGGCTCTGCCATCTGGCCTGGGGTGGA